ACGAGAAAGCCAATGCCGCCCGCCGTCGTGTAGTTCGGGATGCTGGAGTGATAGGCTCGATATCGATGAGGAGTGGAGCGCGCCAGCATGTCCACGTCGAAGCTCGAGCCGTGTGTCTCTTGTAGCGCAATCAAAGCTCGCTGTCGCATGAGAGGTAGCAGAAGAGATCGTTTAGCAGCACGCCGTTGGTCAGAGGATCCATGAAGAGCCTGAGTATTCCAGTAGGCGATCTGCATGCCGTGGTCCGTCTGCTTGCATAACCACGGCGCCCAGGGCGGGCTAAAGCCATTGCGCCGCCGAGAGTGCATCAGAGAAGCTGTTCTCGAAGGCCGTGCGGATGTTCTTCTGGTGGTCGTCATCAACGCCGGCGCGGACCGCGGCAGTCGTCCATCTGATTGTGGTGGGCTCCTCTGGGGCACTGCCGACGTGGATCTGTACCAAGACCTCGCTGTTGCTGGTGATGTAGCCCTGTCCGCGGTGAAGCCGAAGAGGAAGTTGCGCGAAACGCTCCGTGATGAGGGTGCCAAGGCGCTTGAGCTGTACTTCGCGTCGAACCGTCCGAGGGCTCTTATCAGCAGAGACGTAGAGTTGTACCGCAGGGCCTCCATCTCTGGCGAGCTCGAAGGTGCGCCAATCCCGTCCTTGTCGGAGCGCTTCGTGAAGACGCCGTGCTCTGGGTTCTGCCACCACCGTGCCGCCCGTGACGGTGAAGCTGTGCTTCTTGTCCAGTCCCGTGCTGTTGAAGGAGATCTGCTCGAGCGTGACGCTGGCATCACGGAGCCAGGCGGCGAGTGCAGTTCTGAGCTCCTCCGTGCTGAAAGTGGTGGCGGCTCCACACCAGAATGTACATGGATCTGCTTGCCTGTCGAAGGCCGTGTTCGTGATGTCCAGGCATGGATTGCGAGCTTCTGCCTCGCCAGCGATCCGCTGAAGTTTTGCCACAGATTCACGAAGCTCTCGGGTAGCGGTCTCTGTCTTCTCAATGCGACACTTTGTACTCTGTAGTTCTCTCTCGGTCCGCTCGTTCTTGGCATGGAGGTCGGCCGCGATGGATGTGACGGTGGCCATGAATTGTCCACTAGTTTTTTCCACGACTGCGTTGGCCGTCTTCTCGAACTCAGCAGCAGCAACCTTGACCTGAGCGGACAGTGTCTCCTCCAATTGGTGTCGAAGGTGAGCAGGAAGTTTTTGCAACTGGGTCCTCTGGGCGGAGTGGAACCATGGATCCTGGTTCTCCACTGGTTGGCTGAGACTCGCTCGGTGGCATGGCACTCGCTCTTCGGCAAGAGGCTGCACGCTCGTGATTGGATCAGGCGAAATCTCTTGGAAGCTGGCCGCGGACTAGCGGTATCCATTTGTTGGCGTGGCCAACTGAAGATCTTGAGCCAAAATGGCTACGGAGGAGGAGGAGGAAAAGAACGAGGAGGAGGAGGAGGAGGAGGAGCAGGAGGAGGAGGAGGACGAGGAGGAGGAGGAGGAGGTGAAGGAGGAAGAGGAGGAGGAGGAGGCGGAGGAGGAAGAAGAGGAGGAGGAGGAGGAGAAGGAGGAAGAGGAGGAGCCGGAGGAGCTGGAGCAGGAGCAGGAGGCGGAGGAGGTGCACCTCGGCCACGGGGTGGGCGCTGGCGCTGGCGCGGGCCCGAAGCCCCGCGAGACGCGCCCCCGCCCGCGCCTCGGAGGCTCGGGGGAAGGCCAGGGGCCGAGGCCGTCGGGGGCGTCCCCGAGCGCCTCCTGGGCGACCACGTCGCCGCGGCTTGGCTCCCATCTGGAGAAGCGCGCTCCACTACGGCAGGGTCGCGTCGTGACGACCCCCGTGTTGGTTTCTGACACTGCGTGGATTGTTCAACCTTGAACGATCGGCGGCTTTCCGATCGCCCGATCGTTCCATGTAGGCCGATTCTGGGCCGCTGGCGGCGTTCAACCTTGAACACCTGCGGCGTGGTCGCCGCCAGTCGACACGACGCGAACCTGCCGTACTCGCAAAGCAACTATTCGCAAATCGCCTGGATCCTGTGATGGATTTACGATCCATTGCATAGAGGCCTGTTGTTTTTTTCTCGGACGTTTGCGAGTAGTAGGCACTTTGCGAATAGTGGAGCGCGCTCGGTGACCGTCGGTTTCGGTGGCAATTCAGTCATGGGGGCCTTCCATGCCATCTTGGCGGCCCTTGCGAATCGACGCAAACCGACGCTCGTCGACGCGAACCGACACTGAATCGGCGCCAACCGACGCCAGAGCGGCGCTGCCCCATCGACTCCTCGACGCTCCTCGACGCGCCTCGACGCGAGAGACGGACTGCTGGGAGGGTCTGCCAGGCCCCCGTGGTCCACTGCCGAACTCGGTCGGCCACGCGCAGGGAGCGGCCCCCGGGCAGAGGTGGACGCCCGGCTGCGCGGCTTGCCGACCGCTGCGCGCGGTGTGGCGGCAACGGCCTGCCTGCCTTGGGCTTTGGGCCCGGACCCCCCCCCCATCCCCCCCGAAGAGTCTCCCGGGAGCCGCGCGCCATGGGCCGACTCACGTGCGATCCTGCCGACGGGGCTTCTGATACTGCCAGCGGGGCTTTGGGAGTGAGGCCCCCGTGCTGCTCGATCCTGCCAGGCGGTTTCCGCTCCTGGCGAGAAGCTTCTTGCGTCGGAAAGGCGGCGGTGCGGCGACGCGCGGCTCACCTCGGGATCCCGGTGGAAACGCCCAAAACCCTGGGGAGGTGACGGCGCCAGCACATGACACACACACACACACACAAAAAAAAAACATCACCTACTCGGCGCGGATGTCCGACCGCCGTACGTTTCAACCTCGCTTGACGTCGATGTCCGCCCCACTTGTCCGTTGCCCTTTCCGCCCTGCTCGTGTGGATGTGCTGCGAACATGCTCCACAACATTGCGCATCTCTCCATAGAGAAGTATGGCGGACATGTCCGCCCTTCTTGTTCCGAGGCGGAAATCTCCGCCCTACGTTGCCGAACCCCACGGGATAGGTTCCCAACGCAATCTGAATTCGGAAAATTGTTCTGTGTACGGCAAACCCGCAGTCAGGATTTACTGGCCTCACGTGCAGTGGGGGCTGGACCACAAGAAACCCTCCACAAGAAACCCAACCCCGAGACCCCAGGACTTCCATTGATTCTTGGTGTGGGCACCGCACGCTCCCCGCCGCAAGACCGTCGTAGCCCAAGAAACCCAGGGCACCATGGAGGCGTGCAGGGTCTTTCTTGGCATGGGCCTCCGCTGTCTGTGGGGAAAGAGGAGGAGGAGGCGGAGGAGGCGGAGGAGGAGGAGGAGGAGGAGGAGGCGGAGGAGGAGGAGGAGGAGGAGGGAGGTCAAGCTAGGTGCGCGCGCGTCATATCTGACGTCCTACCCCTCCCTCCCATCCCTTACCATGGCGCTGATTTTCTCTATCCGCGGACTAGTGGGTGGTGGTGCGCGTGCGTGCGTGCGTGCGTGCGTGCGTGTGTGTTGTGGTGGTGGTGGTGGTGGTGGTGGTGGTGGTGCTGGTGGTGCGGTGTGGTGCTGGTGCTGGTGCTGGTGGGTGCTGGTGTGGTGGTGGTGGTGGTAGTGCTGGTGGTGGTGGTGGTGGTGGTGGTGGTGGTGGTGGTGGTGGTGGTGGTGTGGTGGTGGTGGTGGTGATGGTGGTGGTGGTGGTGGTGGTGGTGGTGTGGGTGTGTGTGTGTGTGCGTGTGTGCGCGTGTGCTGTGGCATGGCACGGGAAATGACGCCAGCGCTGCAGCGGGAGCACGAGTCGAAACGGGCGGAAGCGCGGAAATGAGGCCGGCGCTGCAGCGGGAGCACGATTCGGAACGAGCGGAAGCACGGAAATGAGGCCAGCGCTGCAGCGGGAGCACGATTCGGAACGAGCGGGGCCCGAAAATGAGGCCGGCGCCTCGGCGAGAGCAGCATTTTAGAAAAAAAACACAAGCGAAAACCCAACTCCCGGGAATCCTGTGTGTAAAAAAACAATACGCGGGGGGGTGCCGAATATCTTCCGGACGCCATCAAGGGGAAGTGGGAGAGTATTTTCATATTGTGTAACTGTGGAGGAGGAGGAAGAGGAAGGAGGAGAAAGGAGGAAAGGAGGGAGGAGGAAGAAGGAGGAGGAGGAGAAGGAGAGGATGAGAGGAAGAGGAGGAAAGGAGGAGGAAGAGGAGGAAAGGAGGAGAAGAGGTAACCCGCTGGCAAGCCCCCCTGGCCCCGGCGAAGGATGCCGTCGGTGAGCGTCCGTGCGCCAGCGAGAGCCCGCGCAGAGACGCCATCGGGGAGCGCGAGGGCGACGGCCCGGCACGGCCAGAAGAGGCCCGCCCGGGCGCCCCGCGAGGGGGGAAGGCGAAGGAGCCCTGGGAGCTCCTCGAGGTCCCCAAATCGTGCCTCCAAAGTCCCCAGCATCCTCAGCATCCCAGTCCCCAGCATCCCCTCCAGCGTTCCCCAGATAGTGTCTCCCAGGGGATCCCCAGCATGCCCTCGGCAGCCCCTCAGAAGCGCCCGAGAGGCCACGAAGGGGCCTCGAAAGAGGCCTCCGAGAGCCCCCGCAGGAGGCCTCCATGAGGCCCCCCAGAAGCATCCTGGGAGACCCCGACAGGCATCCATAAGGCCTCTGGCCCACAATCCAGTCACGGTGGCGCGATAATGTGGGAATAGCGACAATGATGAGGGGAAGGACAATATAAAGGAGGGGAGATCGAGAAGAAAGAGATGAAACAGGAGGAAGAGGTGGAGAAGGAGGAGGAGGCACAGGAGGAGGAGGAGGAGGAGAAGGAGGAGGAGGAGCGGGGAGAAGGTGGGGAAGATCGAGGAGGAGAAGAATGAGCAAGAGGAGGAAAGGGAGAACGAGTAGGATGAGCAGGAGGAGGAGGAAACGGATAGGAGCAGGAAGAGGAGGAGGAGGCGGAGGAGGAGGAATATTGGGAACGGGGGGAGGAAGAGGAGGAGGGGAGGAGGAGGATGGAAGGGAGGAGGAGGAGGAGGAGGCGGAATTGGAGTTGGAGCTGAAGTTGGAGGAGAAGGGCCGCCTGCGCGCGTCCGTCCACGAGGGCTTCCGCGCAGTCGACCAGGCGACGCATGCAGACGGTGCACACGGCGCCCAATATGCCCAACGAGACTCCGGCGAGCACCTGTGGTGTCAGCACGCACGGCTCTCATCCTCCTCCTCCTCCTCCTCATCATCATCATCAGCAGCAGCAGCAGCACTATCGGCATCAGCATCAGCATCAGCATCAACAACAGCAACAGCATCAGCATCAGCATCAGCATCAGCATCAGCAGCATCATCAGCATCAGCATCATCATGGTCATCACAATCATCATGATCCTTCTCCTCCTCATCATCACCATCACCATTACCAACATCGTCATCACCACAAGTATCGTCTTCATCATCGCCATCAACGTCACCGTCACCATCACCATCATCAACACCACCGTCATAAGCATGATCACCCGTGTCACCATCAACATCACCAGCATCATCATCATAATCATCATTGTCATCATCGCCATCATCAACACCAACACCAACACCATCACCATCACCACCTCCATCTTCATCATCAGCATCACTTGCATCCTAACCATCACCATGACCATGACCATAGCCATCATCAATATCATAATCGGCATCATCATCGTCACCGTCATCGCCGGTATGCAGCAGCATGAGCATGAGCATGAGCATGAACATGAGCATGAGCATGAGCATGAGCATCATAATCATCATCATCATCACCACGGACATCGTCATCATCATCGTCATCATAATGAGCATCATCACCACCACCATCACCATCATGCTCACTTTCATCCTCCTCCTCCTCATCATCATCATCACCAGCACCGTTATCATCAGCAGCATCAGCAACATCATGATCATCATCATATGCATCATCAACATCTGCATCATCACAATCATCACCATCATCAAAAACAGCAGCATCATCATCATCAGCATCAGCATCAGCATCATCATCATCATCATCATCATCACTCACAACATCATCATCGTCACCAGCACCACCAATATCAGCATCATCATCATCACCAGCATCATCATCATTACCACCGTCATCATCACCAGTATCGGCATTACCACCACGATCACCATCATCACCACCACCACACTCATCATCATCATCATCATCATCATCATCATCATCATCATCATCATCATCATCATCATCATAATCATCAGCAGCATCATCATCAGCAGCATCAGCATCATCATCAGCATCATCAGTATCAGCATCATCATCATCAGCATCATCATCATCATCAGCACCAACATCATCACCATCACCATCACCATCATCAGTTTCACCATCATCGTCATCGTCATCGTCATCGTCACCATCGTCAGCGTGCTTATTCTTCTTCTCCGCATCGTCCTCCTCCTCATCCTCCTAGTGCTCCTCCGCATTGTGCTCCTCCTCCTCTTCCGCCTCCCTCTTGATCCTCCTCCACGTCGCAACTCGCATGCCCAAACTCCTTCTTCCCACCATCCCACCCATCCTTCCTCATCCTACTCTTTCCTCATGATTCATCCGCCCTTCCCCTGTTCCTCCTCTTCCTCCTCCTCCCACTCCTCCACCTCCTACTCCTTGTCCTCCTGTTGCTCATCACTATCTCCTCCTCCTCCTCCTCCTTCTCCTCCTCCTCTTCCTTATCCTCATTCTCCTCTTCCTCCTTCTCCGCTATCGCCGTCCGATTCCATCATTGGTCCCATTCCTCCTCCTCCTCCTCCTCCTCCTCCACCTTCTACTCATACCTCGCTTCTTCCTCCTCAGCCTCCTCCTCCTCCTCCTCCTCCTCCTTCTCTTAACTCCTGTTCTGGAGCGGCAACATGCGATCCGCCCGCTCGAATCGAATCCTCCCCCTCGTCCTCAATGTCCGAGGCATCCCCACTGGAAGCTCAACCTTTGTTCTGATGTTTGTTCCCCTCCGCTTTGAACATTGAGAGACATGTTCGAAGGATCGAAGCTTTCTGGGTACTTAGCTCGCAAAAGGGAGGACGACACGTCTGTGCTTTCTTTTTCGATCCGTAAATAGAGCTTGAGAAAAGATCATCCCGCAGGGCGCGGGCTGACAGACGATGCGCAAGCATCATGTTCGAGGCGTAACGGAGCAATACACATGCAACAAGCTGTCCCGCGAGAGCAGCCGAGATAATTCGCGCCGAGCTCAGGCAGAAGCTGGCACGCAGAGAATGAGAAGGACGAAGGAGAGGACAAGGAAGAGGGGCACTGAGAACAACGTGGCAATATCAACGGTCGTCGTCGTGGGACCAGGCGTTGCGAGAGGGAGGGAGGCGAATCTGCAATCAACCGTGCTACTTCGATGAATGGACACGTTTGGGCGTTGCCGCCATGGAACCTCATCCTCATAACCATGGGCGAGATACTAGAGGGGACGAGGGGCCGATGTTCAAACTTCCTGTCCGTCCCTTTTATCTTTTTTCGCAATTCCGCTCCTCTGCTCAACGAGCCCTGCGCGCAATTGATACGAGATCGAGGCTAGGAGACGAAGAAAGGGGGACCCGTCGGACCAACCCAACGTTCCATGCTCAGACCGAAGACCGACCTTGGATAACATCTCGCTGGCAAAGTGCCGGCCCCTCGGAGCTCAATGATCATGAACAGAGATCAAGCATCATCATGAACGCCAGAAAGATCGCACACATAGACTCCGTAGAACTGGAGCTCGCGACGGAGACGGGTGACAAGCTGGGACTGACAACGGTGACAGGCTCACCGTTGGTGACTGCACTGATGCCGTCAATTCAGTTGATGCTCCCTGCCAAGATGTCGTCCAGCCCACTCGCGACGGAGATCTCTATGACTGCCGCAGTCTGGTTCTCTATGCCTCACGCTTTGGGTGCCCTCGAGGCGGCCCCAAGATGGCCCCAGGAAGGTCCAAGGATGGCCCCAGGACTGCCCAGGATGGCCCCCGACGCGGCCCAACAGCCA